TGGTCTACACGGTGGGGATCTAAAAATGACCGGTGCGTTTGGCATTAGTTTGGTTACAGGAGCTGTCAGTTCAATGCTTCACAATACTGATCTCCCTGAGAGATTTGCATTTTTTGTTGTTTACTCCCTTAACCTTTCTCTTTTTAAGGGTACCCCACAAGGCATCAGGGTTGTACTACATTAGTGTGCTAGATAGCCGTTAATTCCATGAAAGGATTCATCCTCCCTTTGACAGGTCTTGGTTTTAATCCTGCTGAGTGTCTAACCCCCTTCTCACCTGAAAAGATCTTGGGTTAGCCGGTTTAGTCGACGATTACCGGGCCATGTGACAGGTAGTTCTGGTACTACATAGTACTGCTCGTACTGTGTAGTGAGAGTAGCACTCGTAGAGTGACCAATAGCATTTATAGTCACGTGGCAATATTGATGAAATATGATTTGGGAAGACTTAAAGGTACATTTCAACTTTGACTTGTGCAGATCAGCTCTTTTATAATCAACAATAAAACCACGCCTCACTTAACGACTTACTTATTTAACGACTCCAGATTTGCAATTATAAAATTTCATAAAATATTGAAAAATAAATCAAACCAGTTCGTATTGAATATATATATATATATATATATATATATATATATATATATATAGTGTGTGTGAATATATATACATACACACACATATATATATATATACATATACATACATATATATATATACATAGATATATATATGCATATATATAATATATATATATATATGTAATATATATACATATATATATATATATATATATATATATATATATATATATATATATATATATATGTGTGAATATATATGTACATATGTATATATATATATATATATATATATATATATATATACTTCCAATGTAAAATTGTAACCGGCATTTGTTGTATTCCCCACCTCGATCCAATATATGTAGCTACTCCTTGGATAACGACTTGCCTGTGTAATGACCGCATGATTTACGACATCATGGTTGATGTTATGAAGATGGGGCTGACCGTGTTAGTAAAATAAATTATTCCTATGACTCTAGATACATACATAAAAATTAATTAATTCACTTAAAAGTATATATATATATATATATATATATATATATATATATATATATATATACGAGACTCGATTGAGCGCCAGCTATTCACAAATTACGTCGTGTGACTCGTCCAAGTCGACTTAGACCAAACGGACTGTGCTCTCTGAGTCTCGTCTATCACCAAGATGTTCCATCCGGAGAATACACACACACACACACACACACACATATATATATATATATATATATATATATATATATATATATATATAAATTAGGGAGGATTTGAATAATCATAAGTAATTCGTCGAGACTAGAAGAATTCTCAACAGAATGCAGAAAAACTGCTGGACGGCAGTTTCATTCTATTTTGGGGACTCATCAGCAGTACGCATCTACTACCGAGAATCGAACGCGGATATATATATATATATATATATATATATATATATATATATATATATATATTCGTGTATATATATATATATATATATATATATATATATATATATATATATGCACGTTTCATTAAATAATATAGGCAAGTGTTGTCTATTTATTTCATATAAATTTTTCGTAACGTCTGATAAGTTTAATGACATTATCGTTGAACGAAGAAAAAATCACAATATTGATCCATATTTGACATCTTTGATAATGGCTTATGTAAGCCGAAAGCTTAGATTGTATTAGAAAAAAATATGGATCAATATTGTGAATTTCTTTTTCTTTCTTCGTTCAACGATAATGTTATTAAACTTATCAGACGTTACGAAAAATTACATAAAATAAATAGACAACACTTGTCTATATTATTTAATGAAACGTGCATGAATGAAAAGATGCTGCCTAAATACACACATATATATATATATATATATATATATATATATATATATATATATATATATATATATACATAAAATTATGTATAAATTATCGAATGATAAAGTAAATTTCACAAATACGAATATTACGTTGTTATTGTTTAATCTATTATCTAATTTCCCTTCGGCATCTTTTCAAAATTTAAAAAAATAATTCTATCCGTGGTTTTGAGTTGTTAACCTGGCATATTTCTGAAGTGATTTTAGAAGCACTGAAACATCTGATGCAAATACAGAAAAAATAAGTAAAGAAGTACAAAAAAGAAAAAAACAAAAAACAATCAGAAAAAACAGGATGTTCGATATCTTAAATTATTTCGAGTATCCAATAACTTTGTTGATGTTTTCTTTCCTCTTAAGAGCCTTTAAATGTGAATAAAAAAAAAACACAAAAAACAAAAGAAAAAAAGAAAACTGTGTCAGATTTGATTCGCGACCGATAAAGTCGAACAATAAGTACAAATGTGTAGGAGTACAAAATTAAAATATGCGTATTATATGCAGGCGTCTTCGTATTATACTTCGTGAAAAAGAGGATTCAAAGGCGGGAAGCAGTTCATTATTCGTAACAATGCATTTCTATCTGCCTACCATGACAATTTCAATTATCATCAAAACATCAAAGCTGCAGTTCAGATTTATCCACGACATTGATTGGCTGCTAGCAGCTTCTACTTACCCGATAGGATGTATGTAATGTCAGACATAGATGATGAAGATGAAGACACGCCCTTATTTATTGGGGCTGGTTTTTTTTTCTTTACTACCAACCTCTTCTGTGGTTCATTTTTCTTCTCCCTTTTATAGGTGAAAAGTGAAAACTATTTGATGTCTTGGCTTTCTCTTGCAATATTATTACTGAGGCGAAATTGTTTGTAATCGCCGATGATAAGGCAAGGCCAGCAACGCAGATTTTACTAACATAGAAATCTAATGACTACAGAAGAAGGAGATTTTGATGCGCCTATTAAAATAGTACGGAAGTAGGTGGTTTCATTGGGGTGAAATTAAAGGGAAATTTAACCTTTCACCCTTTGAAAATCAATAGTAATCAAATCACCGTCAGATACATGTTTAAATATCCTATATATATATATATATATATATATATATATATTACAGCAAAAAACAAAACAAAAATTACCTCAACATAGTCTATTTCAAACCGTTCTTCATCAGGCTCTAAGTGCTTGTCTCGAATTATAGTTCTAAATTTATTTTCAAATTCTGTCTCCCTCTAGTCGGTGCCTTGTTAATGAGAGTGGGTTTGTGTTAACGATTGGTGTGGGGCGTAAGGTATCTTATCCCGAGGGAAGCGGTCTGGGTTTGGAGTTTATTTATGGCTAAGAATTTTGTTTTTAGTTCACTATCAGTTCCTACTATGTGGTATTTCTTCTAACGGCCCCGGATTGTCTTTTTCTGGGATTCACAGTAAATAGTATTTGTACTACTAAGTGATGGGGCATTTAAACTTGAGTCCATTAAGATTAATGTAAATTAGTTGAGGTATAGATTTATAGATTGTGGATAATATCAGAGCACTCAATATATATATATATATATATATATATATATATATATATATATATAATCAAGAAGAATAACTTCATAGATTCATTTCGGTTATAATTTATTTTGTGAATATCTTTATATATTCATCTCTTCAGAGCGAAATCTCTTAGTAAATGGAGACAATACCCTGGACTGATTGACAGGGATGGTGGGGGGAAGCAAGATAGAGTACAAGAAAGAAGGAGGGGAAGAAGAAAAGTGACGAATGGTCAAAAGATTAATTTAAATTTAATAATTAATATTTCGCTCACTAGTTGTGTGACATCACCCGAGGAGCCATATTTGTACTGTTGAAACTTTTTTGGATCACGTTGTTTGCACTTACCTTGATAAAGTCCCATAATGAACGAAATGCGTTGGCATAAAATAACGAATAAAACGTCTTGTTAATTCGTATTAATATATATATATATATATATATATATATATATATATATATATATAATACAAAGAAAAACTTAAAGATTCATTTCGGTTATAATTTATTTTGTGAATATCTCTATATATTCATTTCTTCAGACTGAAATCTCTTAGAAAATGGAGACAATATTTCGGACTGATTGACGGGGCGGGGTAAGAGAGAAGGGAAGAAAGAATGGAAGGAAAAAGAAAAGTGACGGATGGTCAAGTTCTTTTAATAAGTGAGATAAAGAGAGAGTAAGGAAAGGAAAGGGAAGAAAGAAGAGATGAATGGATAATAGCAAGCCTTTATGGTTTTCTTCTTGATTATTATTATTCTATTGCTCTGTAGTTTACATTGAGCTCTCTCCCTGGATTAATATCCTCCCTTTCAGCAAGATGTGGACTAAGAATAGAGGATGCCGAAATCAAGCATGTACGAAGATTTAAATATCTGGAAAATGTGACAACGAAATTCGAAGGTGCACTGGAACCAGAAAAAATGCCTTACAAAAGCTAAGCAAAGTATTAAGAAACAGAAAATTTAGCTCGGAAGAAGGAAAAGAGTACTAATCTGTTATGTAATGTCAATCATCTCTGTAGTAGTGAATGTTGGACAAACTTCTTACATATGAAGAATAAACTTCAGGGAACAGAAATCTGATTCTACAGAAGGATGCTGAGAATGCCATGAAATTTACATGTGAGTAAGAAGGACGTTTTAAGGAAAATGGAAACAAAAATGCACGTAATCTTAGAATCAGAAAGAGACACTTGAAATGTCTGGGACAGCTAATGAGGAAAGACGACTTGGAGAATCTGACACTCATAGGACGTACTGAAGGAACAGAGGAAAGCTGCTAGTAGACTATCTAATGTGCTTGTATAAAATGATAGCAGAATAGAGATAGGGAGAGATAACGAAACGACAGAGCTTACTAAGTGCTACAAAACAGGAGGTTGTGGAGAGACATGATCACTTGCATTCTGAATGGCACGACACGTAGTAGTAAAAGAAGCAGATAAAATTAAATCTATTGACCAGATGTGTCGGCGAAGGATCGGTTGCAAACGACTAGACGTAGAGAAAACAAATCGTAGCCTGTGTCCATTGTATAATGTGTAAGAAAAGTGACATGAAGAAAGCGGATATAAATCTGATCGTAATAAGGGGAGGTTGTACATATCAGGGGGGGGTGATGTTAAAAGACCTGATGACAAGAGAAAGAAATCTTCTTTTTTATGTACCGTGTCCATTCAGGACGTAGCCGATCATGGCTCTCCACTTCCTCCTATCGTTTGTAGCTTTCAATAAGTTTTGTCCCTTTGCTACTTCTCCCAGGCTATGTTCTGTCATTCCCTTGCTTACGCCTGCTAGGTATGTCATGCATTGCTTTCCCTTGTCTCTCTTTCCCTCGATTCAATTATACTGAGCAGACCTTAGTTACAGTTTATCAGAGAGAGAGAGAGAGAGAGAGAGAGAGAGAGAGAGAGAGAGAGAGAGAGAGAGAGAGAGCACATAATCTAGCATGATCAGCAGTTGAACAAGGCCAGTATACTCAAACTCTTAGACACAATGACTTGCTAGCATGAGTTTCCAATCAGTCAACTGAATAAGACTTAGGCCAGCCTGTGGTATGGTTTTCAGGCACTTTCTAAGAGTACATGCTGGGATTGCCTTCCTAGTCCAATAACATTTTCAAGTCACTTGCCTGACAAATTGACCAGGATAATTGACCAGGGTTTCATGGTCAGAAGCAAATATTCTAACCTTTTTCTTCTTTATGTGCCGTGTCCCTTCAGGACGTAGGTGATCATGGCTCTCCACTTCCGCCTATCTCTTGGAGCTCTCATTAAGTTTTGTCCTTTTACTACTTCACTCTCAGGCCATGTTCTGTCATCCACTTGCTTAAGCCCGCTTGGTATGTCATGCGTTGCTTTCACTCTATTCGACCTGTGAGTATCAGATTCTCTAGGCCCTGCTTTCTCATTACGTGTCACAGAAATTTCAACTGCCTCTTTCTGATGTTAAGTATAAGTTCCTCCTTGTTTGCATCCTCTCCAAAAACTCATCGTTGCTCACACACTCGGTACATGATATCCTTAGCATCCCGGGTAACTAATTTATATATATATATATATATATATATATATATATATATGTGTGTGTGTGTGTGTGTGTGTGTGTGTGTGTGTGTGTTAAGTATTCCACAGTCGAAACGTCGGCGACTAACTCGACTACTCCACTTCAAGTTCTTCCGAGTGAGGCGGCTTGTTAAATATATAAAAAAATAAGACCTAACAAAAGACGGAAGAACTCTCTGAGTCAACGGTTAGCTAACTAGAGGTGGTGTCTCAATAAATCACTGTGGAAAAGGCAACGGGAAATCATTCCATTATTAATTCAAGATATATCATGGCTAACGACAAAGAAATAAGATGGTAAAAAATAATTGAGATATGATTGTAAAAGACAAATGGATTGAGATACATGAGACGAAAAATGACTGTTCTTTGTGACTATTGCAGAGTTTACGAATACACAGACTGCTCAAAATAAAACTATGAAATGCTAAATGACTGAAATAATTATAAATCAACATGTAAAACAATACGTTATATTTTAGATTCGATTATCAATGTGTCTTGACACCGAAAACCAAATGTATTTCATTTGATCAAATGCCGCACACTGAGACTTTTCTGAAGAACTACGTAAAGATCGGGTAATCGGTATTGTTTTCACGATGGACGGGTTAGCCACGCAACTATCAAGGTTACTAGATAAATAAGATGATTGGAAATTTATATTCAGATATCATATATGTAGTTGTTATCACGGCGCTTCAGCTGCTATGTCCCCAGGGCTTCATCAGAGTAACTTATAGGAAATTCTGAACTGAACACTTTATTTAATCTACGGGGTTAGACTGTTCTCGTTCCACTGCATATGTCCATGGATATCGGCTAGTCCTTATTTTCAGCTATTGCTTGCCCGTTTCCACGGCGAGCAAAAATATTTAAATATATATCTAAAATATGTAAATTTATATCTAAGATATTTAAATACATACTCAGAATATTTAAATATATGAAAGAGAGGAGGCACTTTAAATATATATCTAAAAAATTTAAATATATAAAAGGGATGTATCAATTTAAATATATATTTAAAATATGAAATACAGACAGAGGTAAATGTAAATACACACTTCAAATGTTTAAATATATGAAAGAGAATAGCAATTTAAATATATATTTAAAATATTTGAATATATGAAAGAGAGGTAAATTTAGATGTATATTTAAATATATAAAAGAGAGGTAAAAATTGAAATATATATTTAAAACATGAAATAGCGGCAGCAATTTAAATATAGATTTAAGATATTTAGATATATGAAAGAGAGGTAAATTTAAATATATACTTAAAATGTTTAAGTATATTTGAAATATTTAAATATATAAAAGAGAGGTAAAATTTGAAATATAGATTTTAAATACTTAAATATAAGAAACAGGGATAGAAATTTAAATATATATTTAAGATATTTAAATATATGAAAGAGTGGTAGCAATTTAAATATATATTTAAGATATTTAAATATGTGAAAGAGAGGTAGAAATTTAAATATTTATTTGAAATTTTTAAATATGTGAAAAAGAGGTAGAAATTTAAATATATATTTTATATATTAAATAAAAAAAAAGAGAGGTAGTAATTTAAATATATATTTAAAATATTTAAATATATGAGAGAGAGGTAGCAATTTAAATATATATTTAAATTATTTAAATATATGAAAGTTAGGTAGAAATTTAAATATATATATTAAATATTTAAATATATGAAAGAGTGGTAGCAATTTAAATATATATTTAAAATATTTAAATATGTGAAAGAGAGGTAGCAATTTAAATATATATTTTAGATATTTAAATATATGGAAGAGTGGTAACAATTTAAATATATATCTAAATTATTTAAATATGTGAAAGAGAGGTGGCAATTTAAATATATATTTTATATATTAAATATATGAAAGAGAGGTAGCAATTTAAATATATATTTAAATTATTTAAATATATGAAAGGGAGGTAGCAATTTAAATAGATAAGATATTTAAATATATGAAAGAGCTCTTTAGATATAATATCTGAAAGAGACAGTGTGATTGAGAGGATAAGAAATTGATATTTAGATATAACATTAAGAATAATGTAGCCATTTTGATAATATAGAAAAATAGCGTTAGGTATTTATAATATTATAAGAACGAAAAGTATCTATTTAGAGAAATGCGTAGAGAAGGGTGTTGGGAGAAGGAAAAAAGCGGGAAAATTATAGATAGATACAAGGATAATAATAGAAATGAATAAAATAATACAGAATAATAAAATAAATAAAGACGACAAAACAGCATAGAGAAAACAATAAAAAATACAAGACTCCCTTCTCCGCACAATCTCTCTTCACACAAGAAGACACGAGGCACTGTTCTCTGGTCAGTCATGCCAGAAGCCGTATGATACGAAGCAGAAAATTCTTCTTTTATTGGAAACTTCATATCAGGATCGACCCTAACTATGACGCGAGACATGGATCTCTAAAAACAACATTATTTGAAAACACGGAAAGCGACAAGGTAGGCGAAATAATTGACGGGTTGGGGAGGGCTGGCATGGAGAGCCATCATTCGTATATGCACAGCTGTCCGTTGCTTGTGGGTGGCCTGCACAAAAACCCTTTGATGCTACATTAAACTCAATCATCATATCATTTCAAATCTAATAGGCGGACAGCGAACAGAGTTTTTTCCTGACCCCTGCTTCGCATATATCTTGAACTGTACATCGGCATGCATTTATGTTTGTCAACATTGATATCATCTTTTATCACTTACTTCTCTAATTGTTCTGTCATATTAATCTTTTTTCTATATGTCTTTATGCCAAGCCGAGTGATCTATCTATCTATCTATCTATCTATCTATCTATCTATCTATCTATCTATCTATCTATCTATCTATCTGTTTAAATCTGTCCATATCTATCTATCTATCTATCTATCTATCTATCTATCTATCTATCTATCTATCTATCTATGCATGCATCTGTTTAAATCTATCTATCTATCTATCGATCTATCCCAGGCTGTTCAAATCTATCTATCTATCTATCTATTCATATGCATGCATCTGTTTAAATCTATCTATCTATCTATCTATCTATCCCATCTGTTCTAATCTATCTAACTTAGTCTATTCATATCTATCTCAGTCTGTTTAAAATCTATCTATCTATCTATCTATCTATCTATCTATCTATCTATCTATCTATCTATCTATCTATCTATGCATGCATCTGTTTAAATCTGTCCATATCTATCATCTATCTATCTATCTATCTATCTATCTATCTATCTATCTATCTATCTATCTATCTATCTGTTTAAATCTGTCCATATCTATCTATCTATCTATCTATCTATCTATCTATCTATCTATCTATCTATCTATCTATCTATCTATCCCAGGCTGTTCAAATCTATCTAACTTAGTCTATTCATATCTATCTCAGTCTGTGAAAATCTATCTATCTATCTATCTATCTATCTATCTATCTATCTATCTATCTATCTATCTATCTATCTATGCATGCATCTGTTTAAATCTGTCCATATCTATCTATCTATCTATCTATCTATCTATCTATCTATCTATCTATCTATGCATGCATCTGTTTAAATCTGTCCATATCTATCTATCTATCTATTCATATCTATCTCATCTATCTATCTATCTATCTATCTATCTATCTATCTATCTATCTATCCCAGGCTGTTCAAATCTATCTAACTTAGTCTATTCATATCTATCTCAGTCTGTGAAAATCTATCTATCTATCTATCTATCTATCTATCTATCTATCTATCTATCTATCTATCCCAGGCTGTTCAAATCTATCTAACTTAGTCTATTCATATCTATCTCAGTCTGTGAAAATCTATCTATCTATCTATCTATCTATCTATCTATCTATCTATCTATCTATCTATCTATCTCAACACGTCCATATACACTTGTATCTAAAATGCGTGGAAAGTCTTTTGCTGCTCTTATCCATTAACCGTTATGAACAATGTTTTGTCAGCAATGTTTAGTATCAAATTAATTAAGTGTCACGGAAGCGGTTCCCAGAACCAAGCTCAACCAAGTCAATTAAATATTTAACAAATTGAATAAAATTCTAAACAAAAATGAACCCAATCTCTGACATGTCCGTGTAGAAATTACTCACAGATGGAGAAGAGACTTGAAGTCACGGAGAGTGCTTTGATTATTGGATGCGATGAATACCATGGAGGAATATGTTAGAAACGTGGACGTCTTGAGGAAAATATATTTACCATAATTTATTTTCGAATACATTGACTTGTATTTCTGAATCCGTTGTGACAATTCAAAAATAAGTCTGTTTATTACTGCATAAGCAAAGCTTTAACATACTTATTTAAAATC